GGGGGGGAGATGAAGTTAATTTGAGCCTTCCATTCGGAACTTACTTGACTTATTACGCACACATAATATTATATTATGTATCAGAGTTTCCACTTTCAGTGAGGCCTGTTTGAAGTCAAGAATAAAGAATACGTCTTTTAAGAATGGGAAGTCTAAATGAACTCTTATGGGGATGATTGGATGGATGGGTGAGGGGTTTAGCCCTTGGCCTTCACCTTTTTATTGTTTCCTTGCAGAGTACTGGCTCTGGTTTTATGCATTGCGTTGGAATGAAACTGTCGATGTTGTGTCCGTGTTTATGTCGCTGTGCTGGGGCAATCAGGGAAATTGGGAAATCACCTCCAAGATAATTACATGATGAAGGGGAGTCTGGCCTTGTTGGTCTCTGACGCATCGAGGTGGCAGGGTGATAGTGGGGAGAGAGAGAGAGAGAGAGAGAGAGAGAGAGAGAGAGAGAGAGAGAGAGAGAGAGAGAGAGAGAGAGAGAGAGAGAGAGGAGGCGGGGGGGGGGGGGGGGGGGAGGGGAGAGCGAGGTGGAGAATATATTATGTGAGGGGAGGGGCTGGGGGCTGGGGGTAAAACTAGGGAATAGAAAAAACAAGTAGGAAAACATAAAGAGAGGGCGTCAGAGCGAGGGAGAGAGACATATAGCCAAATAAAGAGAGAAGAGTGAGTGTGTGTGTCTGTGTTTGTGTGAGTCTGTGTTGTGTTTTTGTGTGTGTGTGAGAGGGAGAGAGAGAGAGACAGAGACGAGAGACAGAGAGAGACAGAGAGAGATTGAAGTGAAGAGCTGCACAAAAGGGGGGAGTAGACGATGTTTTTGTTGGATACCATTATTCCCTTAGGAATGTTTCGGACCCACCTTTCAGTCCCTTACTTAATCGATCCTCGGCAGTGTCCCATAACGCTAAAGTCATTCTAGGAGCTTACATTGATCTTTGCACTGACCGGCGGTCAGGTGGAGTCCGGAAGGTGCGAGTGTTTAGGGTCAGACCAGGGTCAAGGTCATTGTGTTGGTCGTTCCATTGTGTCGCACGCAGGGTGGGCCTCGTTAAAAATTGGGTAATTAGTGAGAGAGAGAGAGAGAGA